TAATGGAGGCTCTTGCTCCCTTTCCTCTATTCACCACTCAAAAGTATTACAATTACGTATATCTCAAAATTAGGGTTTTTTTTCTCTCCCTCTCTATGGAGGTGTTACATCGTATTTATAGGACTATTTTCTATTCTGTAGGATCTCAGCCGAGATCTTCGTCTGCCATTAACGGGATTCTTCTTGATTTTAGGAGAGAATCTTGGTTGGTTGAGAGTCCCATGCTTTGAACCCAATCTTCGCGATTATCCAGCTGTTCCTTGGTCAGTTTCGCTATCATCTCCCTAGGGGGAGTTCGGGCCCTGGACTTCTGAGCTCCTCATATCCTACCAGACCTCTTGACCTGACCTCGTTTCTTATGCTCGCTCTTACAACTTGCTTGAGGTATCATCATAATCTATGGGTTTACAATGTTAAACCTGAGAAGCTGTAATTGGGCTATGGCATGAACAAGGCTAAGAGGTAAATGGATAGGAGAGTTGAGAACCCCACTTTTTGTAGGCCCCACCTCATTTTTTTTTTCAAAAGACCCCACCTCATTGACTTTTAGAGATCACTACAATGATCAAATTGCTTTAAAAATTAACTAACACTCAAAAGTTACACAGGGAATAAGTTGAACAATGGATACACATAATTAGCAAATAATTTAAGTAAAAAGGAACAAAATCAAAGAGTTACCTTCAAAACCAAACGAGGCCAGCTTTTTTCTTGATTCTAAAAACACTCCCAATTTGCTTTCGAGGTTCATCTTAAACACACTCAAACACAAAATAATCAGGGAGCAAAAATAGAAACGGGCACCCATTAATGGCTCATTAGGATTACAAGTATATCTCATTAAAACATGATATAGTAACAGAAATGATTTTGGAGAAGTAATGTTGTCTTTACTACATTTTCTTGTAATTCTAGGACAATGGAAAAGAATAATGACCTACAATTCCAAGCTGGGCATAATACACTCTATAAAACAAAAGTAAGCTAAACATCTTTTCACCTGTACAACAAAGGAAACCAATATAAATAAAAATCAAACCAACAAATAGAAACTACATACATGAATGTTGTGTTATGTGACAATCATAGGACTCACATGAATCAATGACAAGTCAAACAGGGGAAGGAATATGGCATGTGCGTAGTGATTTTGGCACAATGAACAAACTGACAGATCTCTCCCCTGATGAACTCAAATTTGCCTGGGAAGTCAAAAGTTTCATAGCAAATGGATGTTGAGAAGTCGTAATGAATGGTGATGAAACTCTCTATGGACGGTCTATCCACTTGTGAGTTATCAAATTGTGTCCTGTCACTCAAAAAGAAAGGTTAGAAGGGCGTTAGAGTATTTTTCGGTGTGGCCCCTCCGACAATCAAGTAAGTATCTGAGGGTTTGGGAAACACTATTCTATTGCTTGGGTAAGGGTTTACGTACCTTGGACTTGGGTTTTAGAGAGTTATTTATACCACCTTGGAGTCAATCATTGCAGACAGTTGGATCCCTTGGAGGGAGGGCTTCTCATTGGCTCATTTGAAAGGCAACATGTGGTGCACATCCTTTAGCAGTGAGTCCTCATTTTCACGTGGTAGAAGTTTTTGCATCTAATGCTCAGATCTCTGTTCACCTTTCTGATCTTGTCGAGCAATAAGTATGTCTCATCCTTCTGTGGGGGTCATTTAATGCGCCATGATTATGGCTGCGCATGCGCAGGGGTACTTCGTCCATCACCCCTCAAGGGGCCAAGATTTCAACGCTTTGTACCTCGTACACCCTTACTATTGGTTACTGAACTGTCTTCCCTACCATTCTAATTGTTTTGGAAAGGGGGAAGCGATGATTGATAACCAACTTTGCTTCCAAGTGATGATGTTCTACTTGACCTCGATCACTAGCATACTTGTATCAGCTAACTTTCTCTCCTTCTACTTGGGGACTTAGCAACTTTGGTAGGGGCTAGCTAGTAAGACGACTGCCAACACCTCATCGGCATGGAGGGCTAAATGCTAAGGACATGTGTCTAGCAACTGGGGCTCTAGAGATTTATGTGCCAAAGGCACGTGTCAAGCAACTGGGCCCCCGAGGACCTAGAGGCTAAGGACACGTATCAAACAGGTGATGCTCTGGGGGATCTAAATGTCAAGGACACACGTTGAGTAAGTGACGTCTTGGGGGTCATGTATGTCGAGGACACATATCAGTCACTAGGAGTTCTGAGGGAACTTACCGAGGACACGTGTCACTCCATGGAGGCTCCATGTTCACCATGCCGACACCACATGTCGTCGCCCAATCAATCCATGGAAACGTCCTATCAACTGTCCCCCAACCCTTGATCTTCGTACGAATCAGATGACGTGGCAGAGGAAGATGAAAGGGTTTGATCATTGTCTCCTCGTGTAGTCGGTTTCCCTTCCTTGGGGTTTGTGCCTTATTTAATGCGCCCCATCTCTTTCATTGTGAGCAATGATGGGCCTTGGCCCTATTTAAATAGAGGACCCCTTCCTCTTCCACTTTTGCAATCCTTATGTGCTGAGAATCCTTTGTCAGAGTTTCAGCAAAGAAGCCACAGCTCGCCGAAAAGCTATCAACCCCTCAGAGCCCACTAGAGAGAGGCCACCAACTCCTTCCTCCTTTTTGAAGTTCTGTTGTAGGGAGACCTGATTTTCTTACCTATTTTTGGGTTCCAGTCACACCCACTAGTGAGTAACTGTGTACTTCTTCTCTTGTACCAGTGACAGTTCTCCTTCTACTCTCTTCTCTTCATCTACCCAGCCTTAGGAACCCACCCCCGAGTCTTCTTCTTGTCCATTCCATGACAAGGCGTCGTTAGAATACAAGTACTGGAGCTTATGAGGCTAGTCCCTCGAGACTGAGGAAGTATATAGTCAAGGGTTGCCAACAAATCACCAACTTTAAGAACCATTATTCCATTCCCCTCGAAGTCACCATCAATGAGTTCGTACACAGACTCCACAGTGCCGATGTCAGTGTTGAGGCGGCCGTGCCCTTTTTCACCAAAGCCATCATAGAGGGTGGCATTAGATTTCCCCTCCACCCCTTTTCTATTTCATGTCCCGATTTTGTCTTTTTATGGGGCAATGTTGCTTGAACACCTTTAGGATCATCATGGGGGTGGTCGCCCTGAATGAATATCTTCAAGTCAACCTCGACTTGGAAGACATTCTTTTCTGTTACACTTTGGTAAGGGTGATACCTCAACAAAAGTTCTATCATAAAGCCTGAGACCCCGTTATGTACCTCGTGACATACCTGCTAGACTCTAACAAGAGATACAAGGATGACCTACTCGTCTTCGACGTTCAATGGGAAAGAGGAGTCGGCCTTGGGTACATCGATTTGTGGTGCCCTAAGCATTGGCAGAATGAAAATACGTTGGCTTCTCTCTCTCTCTTTTTGGCTTAGAGTACCTGGGCATCTTCGTACTTATTTCTAGTCTTCATTCTTTTTTTTCAGGAGTTACTGACACCAAGTCTGCTTCCCCTCCTCAAAATGTTGTCAACCTCACCGACATGTTCACCACCTGGGTTTACGTGGGCAACAATTTTGGTCAAGCTGCCCACGTGCTGCTTGATTACACATCAGGGTACAAAAACCTCTCTCAGACCCCCCTCAAAACTTTGAACTAGCCAGGTGGTAGGAGCTAACTGGCAAGAACTTGGAGGAGGACCTTGACAGATAAACTGACACCGAAGTAGAGGCTACCCAAGATAGAATTGCCAATGCCAAGGTAGAAAGGGATCCGTCCACCATCATCCACGCCGAGGAGAACATTTCAAGCAAGGACATCTAGCCAGACTTTGAGACTCTACAAAATCTCGAGAAGGAAGATGCCATGGAGATCACGATGTCTAATCTGCCTTGTCTTTCCTTTAACTTGATCAAAGAAAGAGCTGCACTTACCGCAGGATGGGGTGCGATTCGGGTCCTAGGGACACTTTCTCTAATCAGGGACAAACTTGTCCTTCTGGGGCCGTGATCCCTAGGGTGACTTCTCCACCAATCCTTCTACTATCAATGCTCCAGTAGTGTCGACGTCGTCTGGATGCGATCGAGTCCACAACAGAGATCCTCAAATTGAGGAGAGAAGAATAAAACAAAGGCACAATGGTGCTGGCCGCAGCACAGATGCTTCTTCTCCCACACTAACACCTACACCCATGCCTCCCTCAACTCCAAAGTGGCATTCCAGGACCTGAGATTGTGATAACCTCCCGATCCAGGTGATTGATTTCATTGTCGCCTCTCCTCACGTTACCTATGCCATGAGTGAAGCCCTCCATTTTGAAGCCAACCTGGCTGTCCATCGAGGGTGTGAGAGTAATCAACTGTTCCACTTCCTGATCTAGAACTCATTGGTGGTAAAGTATTGACACTTCTGTGAATTTCTTTCTATTTAATACATTTCTCAGCCTTTAACTTTTCTGCTTTCGTATTATAGACGGCACAACAGGTGTCCCTCATCGTGGAGCATTTCCACACTCATTGTGGTAAGGTCCAGGAATATGAAAAACTTCAGGTCGACCTTGAGAAAGCCTGACGAGAGCTTGCCGTTGATAAGGAGGAGGTGGCTGCCCGAAACAAGACGTTGGCCACTCAAGGAGCCCAGATCATCAAGCTCTTCAAGGAGGGTCAAAGTGCTAAGGATAAGGCTGACAAGATCCAGGCCCTCTTTTTCGATGCTAAGAAGAAAATGACCGAGGTGAAAAAGTTGGAATTTGTAGCCGAGGCAAGGGTGTGTGAATCAGAACAGACTTCTGCCTCTCTCACCCAAGAGTTGGACAAGTTGAAGTCTGATATAGAGGCCAATAGTCTGTTGGAACATGATATCGTCAATCGATGCACCGACAACATCATCGTAGTGTTTGAGGAGACGAAGAAGGAGTTATTTAAGAGTGGATGGGATGAGGCAATTCGGGCCGCTAGGGTCCCTACCGAGTCCCCACTCTTTAAAGAACATGAGTACACACTGTCCACCGAGATGGAGCAAGCAGCAGTCGTGGTTGAGGCTGAAGAAGTTGGAGTCCTTCAAGTTCCAGATCAAGCTCCCCCAACCAAGGATGCTGCTCCTACTCTTGTCTTTTGGGCTATTCCTGTCCCTCAACCCGAGGTCGCTCATGTTCCTACTAATGCCATTCATGCTGCTCCGGCCGATGCCACTTCTACTCTGCCCAACGTTGCACATGCCCCACAGGGAGAAGCCTCCTCTGCTCATGTCAATGTTGTGCCCAATCCTCACAACGCTGACTTTTTCTCTGCTAGCATTGATGAGCTCTTCAGCAACATCGGGGGTGGCATCGAGGGTGATGTCACTAGTCCTCCACATAACAACTTTTTTACTTTCTTTTCCCTGTAACTTGGTTTTTTTATCTATGTAGCTTGAGGGACGCAAAGCTCTCCCTTTTTGGAATATAAGGATGTTTTTTCTTTTTTAAGTGTTTGCCCCCTCCCTTTTTTTCTTCGGGTTTATAGACTTTCTCGGCCTTCTTTGTGGGACAATTCTTTTCAAGTCTTTGTCCTCGGGTCCATATCTGTTCCAAGAGGCTCTGATCCTAGGGCTCTTTGAGGGTAAATCCTTCTTGAAGATGTCACCCCCCGGGGGCCATGCCCCTCTAGGAGGCTTCACTCACTGGATCCTTTTTGGAGGCAAGTATTTTTCTAAGACTTCACCCTTGGGGTCATACCCCTCTAGGAGGGGGCAAGTCTTTTTCTAAGGCTTCACCCTCAGGGTCATGCCCTTGTAAGAGGCTTCACTCCTTGAGTCTTTTTGGGGGCAAGTCTTTTTCTAAGGCTTCACCTTCGGGGCCATGCCCCTCCAGGAGGTCGTGCTCCTTTTGCCCTATCCTAGAGAGTACACTTGGTGAAAATAAGCTTTTTTTTAAAAAAAATAATACTTTTTCAGATTCTTTACATTTCAGGGCCGAAGTACAGTATTTCCTTCCATATCCTTTAGTTTGTATGATCCAGAACCTCCCACTGATATAACTCTATATGGTCCCTCCTAGTTAAGTCTCATCTTTCCATTGGCCGGGTCGCAAATATTCGCGACTACCCTTTTGAGCACCAGGTGGCCTACTTGAAATTTATGGGGTTTCACTCTCTTATTATTGAGTTTGGACACCCCCTCTTGGTATTTTGCTAGCCACAGGGCAATCATTTCTCTTCTTTCCTTCGTGAGATCCAAGTTTAGGTTGCGTTGTTGATCATTTTTTCCCGTATCAAAAGCCTGCATCCTTATAGTGGGGAGACCAACTTCCAACAGAATAATTGCCTCTACTCCGTAGGCGAGGGCATAAGGTGTCTCGCTTGTTGAGGTCCGCGGAGTCGTTCTATGAGACCAAAGGACATTCAAGAGCTTTTCCACCCATTTTTTCTTAGCTTTTTTCAGTCTCTTCTTAATTCCACTAACAATAGTCTTGTTTGAAGACTCTGCTTGTCCGTTGGCTTGAGGATACGAAGGTGTGGAGTAATAATTTTGGATTCCAAGATGCTCACAAAAAGACTTGAAAGACCCATTGTTAAACTAAGTCCCGTTGTCTGATACAAGTGTACAGGGGACCCCAAATCTTGTCACTATGTTCTTCCACATGAACCTTTTGGTGTTCGTGTCCCTGATGTGAGTCAACGACTTAGCTTCAACCCACTTTGTGAATTAATCAGTCTCGACTATTAGGAATTTCTTATTCCCAAGAGCCTTTGGGAGGGGTCTGACCAAGTCGAGTCCCCATTGGGCGAACATCCAGAGACTAGTTAGTGGGTGCAAATCTCCCATCGGCTGCTTAGTGGTGGGGGTGAATCTTTGGCATTGATTGCATTTTCGCACATAAGCTTGTGCATCCCTTTGCATCTGCGACCACTAATACCCTTGTGACATGATCTGATGGGTCATGGATCTCTCACCTAAGTGCCCCCCACCTAAGTAGGGCTCAACATTATCCTCACAGACACAGAGCAAATAGGGTCTTGAGAATGACTTTTGGTATAACTTTTTATCTGAGGCGGCCCAGAACCTTAGGGCCCTCAACTTTATCCTCCTGACTTCCTTAGGACATTCCGAGAGCTCACCAGTAGCAAGGAATTTAAGTAGGGGATCAATATAGCTAGGGAGTTCTCCCTCTTCCCGAATGGTGAACACTCTTGGAGCGTCGTCTATGTTGGAACTAGGAAGGTACTCCACTATGATCTTTTGCATTATGTTAGAGTTCAATGTTGAGACCAAGCATGCTAACGCATCGACGTGAGCATTTTTATCTCGTGGACCTACTTGACTTCCACCTCTTAAACTTGTGGAGTAACTTTGTGGTGATAGGCCTTCATCCTTGGGTCCCTCACTTCAAACTCTCCATTGATTTGGTTGACCACCAGTAAGGAGTCATAAAAGACTGCCAGCTCCACGGCCCCCGCCGCATCGATGAGTTTTAGTCCGGAGATGAGGGCTTCGTACTTAGCCTCATTGTTGGATGCTTTGAAACTCAATTGCACAACTTGCTCCGTGACTAATCCATCCGGAGAGATCAATAATACTCCAATTTTGAACCTCTTGTTGTTGGAGGATCCATCAATGCACAGCTTCTAGGAGTGCACCTGACCATTCGTGGAGGATTCTTCCATGCTTGCCTCGGGGGGAAGTGGGTCTCCTTACGTGAACTCAGCAATGAAGTCCGTTAGTATTTGACCCTTTATCGCCGTGCGGGATCTATAATGAATATCATGTTTCCCCAACTCCACGGTCCATTTCGTTATCCTTCCGGAGAGGTCTACCTTCCTTAGGATCACCTCACAGGTTGATCCATTAGGACAGTGATAGGATGTGCTTGAAAATTATGCCTCAACTTTCATGTGGCCATAACTAGGGCCAACGTAATTTTCTTCAGAGGCAAGTACCTCATCTCCTGGTTCAGGAGAGCTTTGCTCATGTAGTACACCGACTTTTATTTGTGTTCATGCTCATGGACTAGAATGCTATTGACAACGAACTCAGAAACGGCCAAGTAGAGAAATATCATCTCCCCCCTCTCTGGGACCGAGAGAGTCATGAGGACCCTTAGATACTCCTTGATCCCTTCGAGCACCTTCTCGAATTCTTCAGTCCAAGTGTCCTTCCCAGACCTCTTGATGGCACCACAAAATGGCTTACACTAATCTGAGGACTGGGATATAAAACGATTTAAGGGGGCCAGCCAACATCCCTTTAAGTTTTTGAACATCCTGGACAGTCCGGGGACTACACACATCCATGATAGCTTGTATCTGCTCCAGATTGGCCTCAACCCCACGCCAATTTACTAAGTACACCAGGAACTTCCCAGAGCCAACTCCAAAAGAATACTTAGTCGTATTCAGTTTTAGCCCATACTCACGGAGGGTGGCGAAGGCATCCTCCAAGTCCACGATGTGATCGCTTCAACACCTTCTCTTGACTAGCATATTTTCAATGTACACTTCTATGGTATTCCTCATTTTTCCTTTGAATGTTCGGTTCATGAGCCCCTGGTATGTAGCTCCCACATTTCTTAGTCTAAACGACATGACCTTGGAGTGATGAAGGCGATTTTCTGCTGATCAGGCAGATGGAGGGGGATCTAGTGGTAACCGGCTCGACCATGCATGAAGGTCATGCACTTGTGTCCTGCAATGGCATCGACCAACTGATCGACCTTAGGGAAGGGATAATCGTCCTTTGGACAAGCCTTGTTCAAATTTGTAAAATACACACAAAAAGGCCATTTCCCACTTTTTTTGTTTTGTTTTGCTCAGACTGTGTTTGACCACCATTTTGAAAATTGCACCTCTCGAATAGCATCAACTTTTAGGAGCCTCTCTACCTCTTCTTTCACTTCATGGGCATGGTGTGGTGTTGTACACCGAGGCTTTTACTTAACGGGCTTATGATTGGGATCAACATGAAGTCTATGAGTTATAACATCAGGACTTATGTCTTTCATCTCTGTGGCATCCAATGCGAACATGTCCACATTCATTCTCAAAAAATTTGTCATGTCCTCCTGCTCGGCCGTGGACATAGTCGAGTCGATTAGGAAGTATCTCTCCTCGTCCCCCCCTTTGGAGTACCTTCCGAAGATCCTCCACGGAGCTATCAGCTGGGTCAATTCGCGGCTCATTGATGCCCATCCACCCCGACTGTAGTTGTTATTTGTTTAACACTTCCTCTGGGGCACGCTCTCTTTCCTTAACGTAACCCCAATTTTCACCACATAAAAATAAATTTTTGAGGAGGCTTGGTCTCCACAGATCTCTATTATCCCTTCCGGGGTGGGTAACTTCAATTTCTGATGGTAGGTGGAGTACACTACCCCAAGTAAGTGCAACAAAGTCCATCCCATGATTACGTTGTACGGTGAGTCAAAATCGATCACTTCGAACTCTATGTCGATCGTGACAGGCCCTGTGGTGACTGGCATAGTGATCTTCCCTAGTAGTAGAACAAACGATCCATTGAACCCAACGAGGGGTGTGTTGATAGTGGTAAGATCCTTGGACCCAAGGCTTATTCTCTTTAACAGATCAAGGTACATTACTTCCGAGGAGCTCCTCGAGTCGACCAAGACCCTTTTTACATCAAAGTTTGCAATCCACAAAGTTTTGATTAAGGCATCTTCGTGGGGGAAGGCCACGCTTGCTAGGTTGGCGTTCAAGAATGTGATATCACCTTGATCCGTCCGGGGCCTCTTACTTGTCTGGCCTCCGTCTTTCTCCTCCACCTTTCTGGAAAAGGCTACTCTCTTTAGGTTGGACCTGAGGGTATTGGTCGTTGGCCGTTCCAGGTGGCAAGCGTGGATGGCGTCGATGACATTGTCACGGACAGCTGCATGGTCATCGATGACATTTTTCTCCCTCGGCATCTCCTTCTTGATGTACTCCTGGAGGTGTCCCTCCTAGACCAACTTCTCCAGGAAGGACTTGTACACTCGACAGTCCTCGGTAAGGTGTTCCACATCCTTGTGGTATGAACACTTGGCATTCTAATTCTTGGTGGACAAATCAACCTGTATCTTAGGCTGTGTTTGTTAACCCAAATTCACCACTTAAAATGAATGTATTCGACACTTATTAATTAAGCTCATTTGATAACCATAATTTAAACTCTATTAATATGTTAAGTGCTCTTTAAAAATAGGCTACAGTATTAAGTAGGAGATCTCTTACTTAATTCTGAAAGCACTTAACAAAACTATCTTTAATAATATTTATAATATGAAAATTATATCCAAAAATATTTTACAATCCTATTAAAACTCTAGTTAGTCTTTTTTTTAAAACCCTCAACCTATCTATCCTCCTT